GCCTCAGCCTCCTGAGTAGCTGGGATTACAGGCACGCGCCACCATGCCCAGCTAATTTTTTGTAGTTTTAGTAGAGACGGAGTTTCACCGTGTTGACCAGGATGGTCTCGATCTCTTGACCTCGTGATCCACCCGCCTTGGCCTCCCAAAGTGCTGGGATTACAGGCTTGAGCCACCGCGCCCGGCCGGAAATATTTTTAAACGTTGCTAGTAGGCTAGGCACAGCAGCTCAGTCCTCTAATCCCAGCACTTTGGAAGACTGAATCAGGCAGATTGCTTGAACTCAGGAATTCAGGACCAGCCTGGGCAACGTGGTGAAACCCTGTCTCTACAAGTTAACCCAGGTGTGATGGCACGCAACTATAGTCCCAGGTACTCAGGAGGCTAAGGTGGGAGGATCACCTGAGCCTGGGAAGTCAAGGATACAGGGACCCAAGCTCGCACCACTGCACGCCAGCCTGGGTGACAGAGCAAGACCCTGTCCTAAAAACAAAACTCTTCTAGTAACACATTTTTTTTCCTCATTTCAGCCTAAATTAACAATGGCGAAATGCAGGCGAAATGTGGAGAATTTCCTAGAAGCTTGTAGAAAAATTGGTGTACCTCAGGTAATACATTTTTCATTTTATATGTTGCCTGAATAGACTTGGGTGTCCTAAAATTTTAGAAATGCAAATCTCTAAAATCTTATAGGACTAGCTTTGAGTTAAGTTGATCATAACTAAAATGATTTTGTGTTACAAGAGTCAATATACTTTTGAACAGTTTTCTTTTATTTCCAAGGACCACATGAAGAAATTATAAATGTATAAATTTAAATAATTATAAGTAATCTAAAATAATTGTTCTGTTTTCCTAAATTTCCCCACTTGCTATTTGGCTTGTATATAATTATATACACAACTAAATATATCCTTCAAAAACTAAGTATATCTCAGATTGAGAATGCTGCAGTTGGCTTCAGTGTTTTATTTTTTTATTATTATTTTTATTATATTTTTCTTTTTTCATTTATTTATTTTTTATTTTTTTTGCTTCAGTGTTTTAACACTTGGTTTAATACTTTTTAAAATGTTAATTTTGAAATAATTTTAGACTTCCAGAAATGTTTAAAAACTAGCATAGAGTTTCTTTTTTTTTTTTGAGACGGAGTTTCACTCTTCTTACCCAGGCTGGAGTGCAATGGCGCGATCTCGGCTCACCGCAACCTCCGTCTCCTGGGTTCAGGCAATTCTCCTGCCTCAACCTCCTGAGTAGCTGGGAT